CTTTCACGCATGTCCTTGTGAGGAGACCACCAAAAAGCTTTGTGTGAGCAATAAAGCTTTTTAATCACCTGGGTGCAGGCGGGTTAAGTCCGAAAAGAGAGTCAGGGAAGGAAGATAGGTGTGGGGCCGTTTTATAGGATTTGGGTAGGTAGTGGAAAATTACAGTCAAAGGGGGTTGTTCTCTGGCTGGCAGGGGTGGGGGTCACAAGGTGCTCAGTGGAGGAGCTTTTGAACCAGGATGAGCCAGGAGAAGGAATTTCACAAGGTAATACCATCAGTTAAGGCAGGAACAGGTCATTTTCACTTCTTTTGTGATTCTTATGTTACTTCAGGCCATCTGGATGAATACATACAGGACGCCTGGCTAATTTTTGTGTTTTTAGTAGAGATGGGGTTTCACCGTGTTGGCCAGGCTGATTTTGTGCTCCTGATCTCAGGTGATCCACTCGCCTCTGCCTCCCAACGTGCTGGGATTACAGGCATGAGCCACTGCGCCCGGCCCATATTTGTTTCACGGACAGTAGTTTTCTGGCCTCTGCTGTAGGCCATTCTCCTCCTCTGCGTGGTCAAAGTCAGGTTGTTGTCATATTAGGTTCTGGACAGGAAGGAGAAAGGGAAGAAGTCCAGAGCAAGGGATTTTCTTATTTTTTTTTAACCAAGTAGTGCAGTCACACAGTCTTTTCCACTTACATTTTATTGGTGAAACTTAGTCACATGGTCCCATCTCGCCACAAAGGAAGCTGGGAAACTCTAGTTGTGCCACCACATAGGAAGGAGGGGAGAATGGATGTGGGAGGGCAGCCAGCTATGTCTCCCCCTTAGCATCGCATACTTCATTGGCAGCAGGGTCCACCGCAGTTTGTATTGTATGTGGAGAGTGCAGATCAGCTTGGATAAACAATTCAAATGCCTATAGTCTCATATTTTTCAATTTGCTGGCCTTGACCCATTATTGATTTATGAAATCAATTTAGTGGGTTGTGACCTTTTTTTTTCAATGAAAAAAATATGGAATGAAACAGAATAGAACAGCTGGGCATGGTGACTCACTTCTGTAATCCCAGCACTTTGGGAGGCCAAGGTAAGTGAATCTCTTGAGGTCAGGAGTTCGAGACCAGCCTGGCCAATATGGTGAAACCCCGCTTTCACGCATGTCCTTGTGAGGAGACCACCAAAAAGCTTTGTGTGAGCAATAAAGCTTTTTAATCACCTGGGTGCAGGCGGGTTAAGTCCGAAAAGAGAGTCAGGGAAGGAAGATAGGTGTGGGGCCGTTTTATAGGATTTGGGTAGGTAGTGGAAAATTACAGTCAAAGGGGGTTGTTCTCTGGCTGGCAGGGGTGGGGGTCACAAGGTGCTCAGTGGAGGAGCTTTTGAACCAGGATGAGCCAGGAGAAGGAATTTCACAAGGTAATACCATCAGTTAAGGCAGGAACAGGTCATTTTCACTTCTTTTGTGATTCTTATGTTACTTCAGGCCATCTGGATGAATACATACAGGCTTGGGCTCAGAGGCCTGACACCCACCTCTACTAAAAATACAAAAAAATTAGCCAGGTGTGGTGGCGCTTGCCTGTAATCCTAGCTACTTGGGAGGCTGAGGAAGGAGAATTGCTTGAACTTGGGAGGCGGAGGTTGCAGTGAGCTGAGATTGTGCCATTGCACTCCAGCCTGGGTGTCGCAGCAAGACTCCATCTCAAAAAAAAAAAAAAAAAAAAAGAAAGGGAATAGAACAAAATAAAAAATTAGAAAACATCAGAGTATCTTGTACATAATAAAAGTAAATACTGTTTTGTGAATACTTTCGTCTGTGTGCTTGGTTATGATATACAATATTATTTTACTTTAGATCACAGTCAAGTATTTGAAAAATAATGCTCTAATTCAGAATCTTTTCCATTTATACTTTCAAATTTTCCTTTCTTTCTGGGTTAACATTTCTTTTTAATCTCCTCTGGATGTTCCTAGGGCTTCCTTCTCTGGATGTCCCAGCTTTTGAATTTACTCTCAGGTTTGTGGGCAGAAAAGGGACATCTTACCCAGTTGGGAAAACTGTTTAAAGGTTACAGACAGATGAGGGATGATGCCCAGAGGGAATGTAGACTTTCTTTTTGTTTTTTGTTTTTATTTTTATTTTTTTATTTCTTTGAGACAGAGTCTGGCTCTGTCGCCCAGGCTGGAGTGCAGTGGCACGATCTCGGCTCAGTGCAAACTCTGCCTCCCGGGTTCAAGCCATTCTTGGACCTCAGCCTTCTGGGTAGCTGGGATTACAGGCGCATGCCACCACGCTTGGCTAATTTTTGTATTTTTAGTAGAGATCTGGTTTTGCCATGTTGGCCAGGGTGATTTCGAACTCCTGACCTCAAGTGATCCGCCCCTGTCTGCCTCTCAAAGTTCTAAGATTACAGACATGAGTCACCATGCCTGGCCTGTTTTTTGTTTTTAAATCCTAGTCTTGCCTCCAGTAATTCCCCTGGCAATTCAGGCTGTAAACTTGGTGAGGGATATGTTGCTAGATCCTGGGTCTCCAGTGCACAGCACAGAGTAGAATACATAGCTTTCCACAAGTGAATGTATGGATGCTGGCAGGGATGCTCAGGTAGACCTTGTACCTCTGTTGGCGAATAGTTCAAATGCAGCCGTGTGAAAACAGAAGGAAGCCCTCAAAGACCACTGGGATCCCATAGAAGTAGCAGTGGGGAAGCTGAACTCTTACTGTAGCTGAAAGCACAGGAGACAGTGTGATAGGGGAAAGGGATGGGTGGCCTGAGGAATGGAAATCTGACAATAATTTGGAAAAGAAAAGCCCAGTGCAGGTGGAGCACATGATTACAGTTCTCAGAGAGGTTTTCTGGAGGGGCAGATTCCGTGTGGCTGAAGTCAGAGTTGGGTGGGGAAGGACAGCAGGGCTTCATGGTAGCTGGAGGGAATGGGAATTAAAATGTACAAAAATGGTTTGGTGCAGTCGCTCACGCCTGTAATCCCAGGGCTTTGGAAGGCTGAGGCTGGCAGATCGCTTGAGGTCAGGAGTTCAAGACCAGCCTGGCCAACATGGCAAAACACAGTCTCTACTAAAAATACAAAAATTAGCCTGGCATGGTGGCGGGCGCCTGTAATCCCAGCTACTCAGGAGGCTGAGGCAGGAGAACCATTTGAACCCAGGAGGCGGAGGCTGCAGTGAGCCAAGGTTGCACCACTGTACTCCAGTCTGGGCAACAGAGTGAGACTCTGTCTCGGGGGAAAAAAAAAAAAGTATACAGAATTAAGATAGTAAAAGAAGGGTATTTCTTTACCTGCAAATGAAGAAAGAAACTTGACAGTAAAATCAAGACCACAGGAAATCTCATTGCTGGGAGACTCACTGGGACACTGTGTGTGTTTGCTAGGGCTACCGTAACAGGACCACAAACTGGGTTGCTGAAAACAACAGGAATTTATTGTGTCACGGTTCTGGAGACTAGACATGTGAAATCAAGGTGCCGACAGGGCCATCCTTTCTCGGAAGGCTCCAGGACGTCTTGCTCTGTGCCTGTCTTTTAGCTTCTGGTGTTGCCAGCAACCCCTGGCATTCCTTGGCTTGTAGATGCGTCCCTCCAGTCTTTACCTCTGTTGTAACATGGTGTTGTCTCCCTGGGTCTGTGTCTGTGTCTTTGTTTTCTGATGAGGACTTATCGGGTAGGGTGACCCCTAATTCAGTATAACCTCATCTTAACTGGATTACATCTGCAAACACCATATTTCCAAATACGGTCACGTTCACAGGTACTGAGGGGTTTAGGACTTCACCATACCTTTTTGCGGGACATAATGTAACCCACAACAGGCACTTAGAATGGTCCTGAAATCCATCTCGTTACTAACACTAACAAGTTCTAGTAGGCCGCTTGGCCTCGCCAAAAAAACCTGATTGACAGAAGGTGTGGATATTTTATACAGGCGGGAAAAAAGTAGGGTAAGAGACAGTGTCCTGAATAATGGGCATATTCTGTAGTGGGCAAGAGCTAGGCCACTGCGGGATTTCAGGGACACCACTCCAGCAGCCTGGGTCCGGATTCAAGCAATGCTTGAACTGTCTATCTTTCAAAAATGCTCCCCGGAGATGCAGAGATCAGCATCCTCTTCACAGCTCCTTGGCTGTCCATTATCTCAATTGACCTTATGCATAATGGAAGAGAGATCTCTTTCCAACATATTGTGTTATATCATTACCAAGGCTGAGCAGAGCAATTAAACACTAAATGCAGCTTTAGGACCATCTGGGTATTGTTACCATCTTCATAATCATTAGATTTAGTGCAAGAGATGTATTAATTAGTGGCACAGGAAGCACAAGGCAAAAAAAAAAAAAAAAAGTTCATTGCATATGAGAGCTTGTGGCCAGCACCATATGCATTTTAGCTTAGCTTCAGAAATACCAGCAATTTGAGAGAAAACAACAACAACAACAACACAACAAATCCACCTCCCTACAGTAAACAAAAAACAAAACAAAAAAACTTAGTGTTTTTATTTTTAAATTATTAACTAGCTTTTTTTTTTTTTTTTTTTTTTTTTTTTTTTTTTTACCTCCAGCCAATAGAGGTCTTCTCAGCATATACGATCCATTAAGGAAAGAGTGCTGGGCAATGCTGCACCCCTTTAAAACCTAAGAAACCACTGCAGAACGAGACTTAAAATTTTCAGAAAAAATATGACACAAGAGGTAGAAAAAGGAAGCATGTTCCAATTTCATGGATCCATTTTTTTTTGCCTGTGAGTGAGGAAATCAGAGAAACATGGAACATGAGAGCTGAAAGGAACCTTGAAACCCTACTGTTTTTTTTTTTTTTTTTTTTGAGACAGAGTCTCGCTCTGTCACGAGACTGGAGTGCAGTGCCTCCATCTCAGCTCACTGCAACTTCTGCCTCCCTGGTTCAAGCTATTCTTGTGCCTCAGCCTCCTGAGAGCTGGGACTACAGGTGCAAGCTACAAAATACCTGGCTAATTTTTGTATTTTTAGTGGAGACGGGGTTTCACCATGTTGGCCAGGATGGTCTCGATCTCCTGACCTCGTGATCCGCCCAAAGTGCTGGGACTATAGGCGTGAGCCACTGCACTGGGTCGAAACCGTACTGATTTAAATGAGGTTCAGAGAGGTTGTCTGTTCCAGGTCGTCTTAAAGAGTTCCTTATCCCTCATATAGAGTGATTGATCTTAGGGGTCTTTAGATTGAGAAGACATTATTAAAGATTTCAGGATTGACATAAGGATTGCGGGTCCTGTGGTAGGAGGGCAGTCCTCACTCATAGAATCTCATTTTCCTTTATAGAAGCCTGTCCTTGTGACCAAGGGGAGTTAGAATATTCTTCATCCTTAAAAAAGATGGTGGCACTAGTCACAGTTGTGTCTCTCAAAGTGACTGGTCATCACAGCCTTGACATTGTATTTGTCAGGCGGAAATGCTTGCACAAAGAAGTGACGCGCGTGGGCTAGGTGGGCTCAAGTTTATAATTACAAAACTTCGAGAGGTTAAGACAGGAGGATCACTTGAATCTAGGAGTTCGAGACCAGCATGGACAACATAGTGAGGCATTATCTCTACAAATAACACAAAAATTTAACTGGGTGTGGTGGTGTACATCTGTGGTCCTAGCCACTTGGGAGGCTGAAGCAGGAGGATCACTTGAGCCTAGGCAGTCAAGGCTGCAGTGAGCTGTGATTGTGCCACTGCACTGCAGCCTGGGCAACAGAACGAGACCCTGTCACAAACAAACAAACGAACACCAAGAAGTGACTTGGTAATGCTTAATAGCAATACAGTATTTATCTGCAGCAGGTTGAAAATTCTTTTTTGGGCTGGGTGCGGTAGCTCAAACCTGTAATCCCAGCACTTTGGGAGGCTGAGGTGGGCAGATCAGCGGAGGTCAGGAGTTTGAGACCAGCCTGGTCAACATGGTGAAACCCCATCTCTACTAAAAATACAAAAATTAGCTGGGTGTGCTAGTAGGCACCTGTAACCCCAGCTATTCAAGGGGCTGAGGCAGGAGAATTGCTTGAACTTGGGAAGTGGTGGTTGCAGTGAGCCGAGATCGCGCCATTGCACTCCTGCCTGGGCGACAAGAGTGAGACTCTGTCTCAAAAAAATAAAATAAAATAAAAACTAAAAAAAAAAATCTTTGTGTCTGTGCTTAATCTTCTCGGTAGTGATGAGAGTCCTTTCTCTTTCTGATTCTACCTTGAAGTCTCAGCAAAAACCACAGAGTAGATTCTTTCTATGTATTGGAATCAGATAAGGCAAGGGCTTTCAAACTTTTTTGACTGTGACTACAGTGAGAAATGCATTTGGTGCTGTGATTCAGAGGAACTGCATTTCTCTTGAAATATATGTATCTCTATTCCCAAAGACATATTGCTTTATTTGATGAAACATCATTAAAGAACACCTACCCTCACCATATGTGATGCATTCTGATATCAACTATTCTATTTCATTAAAAAGATCTGGTCATGCTCAGCCTGCAGATTGAGCAATACTGTGGTAAGGTGCGCCCAACTTCAGTTGTTTGACATTCAGATTAGTGTCAATTAGGAAAACCTGCTTTCTTATTTTACACATTGGCTTTGACATTTGCTATAGCATCAGGGATTTAACCTTGAAGGTTACAGTCTAGTCTTCTCCCCTTGAAACCCATTAAGAAAGTCTGCATCTTGGCCCAGGCTCCTCTGAAGTCAAACCCTCTGTCCTGGTCCACATCATGATACCCAGGTTAGTTAAAGTCTCCATCCTTTGCACATCCCTGAAATTTCTAAGGACTTGTCAGATACTTTATGCATCCCATATACATTCATTATATTGAAAATAATTTGTTTGGTCTCTTCTAGGTGTCTTATAGAACTCAACATACTGGGATCTTGAAGATTGTCACTCTGATGGTGGCCGTTTGGGTGCTGGCCTTCTTAGTGAATGGGCCAATGATTCTAGTTTCAGAGACTTGGAAGGATGAAGGTAGTGAATGTGAACCTGGATTTTTTTCGGAATGGTACATCGTTGCCATCACATCATTCTTGGAGTTCCTGATCCCAGTCATCTTAGTTGCTTATTTCAACATGAATATTTATTGGAGCCTGTGGAAGCGTGATCATCTCAGTAGGTGCCAAAGCCATCCTGGACCGACTGCTGTCTCTTCCAACATCTGTGGACAGTCATTCAGATGTGGACTATCTTCAAGGGGATCTCTTTCTGCATCGACAGAAATGCCTGTGTCCCTTCATTCAGAGAGACAGAGGAGAAAGAGCAGTCTCATGTATTCCTTTAGAACCAAGATGAATAGCAATAGAATTGCTTCCAAAATGGGTTCCTTCTCCCAATCAGATTCTGTAGGTCTTCACCAAAGGGAGCATGCTGAACTGCTTAGAGCCAGGAGATTAGCCAAGTCACTGGCCATTCTCTTAGGAGTCTTTGCTGTTTGCTGGGCTCCGTATTCTCTCTTCACAATTGTTCTTTCATTTTACTCCTCAGAGACAGGTTCTAAATCCGTTTGGTACAGAATTGCATTTTGGCTTCAGTGGTTCAATTCCTTTGTCAATCCTCTTTTGTATCCATTGTGTCACAAGCGCTTTCAAAAGGCTTTCTTGAAAATATTTTGTATAAGAAAGCAACCTCTACCATCACCACACAGTCGGTCAGTATCTTCTTAAAGACAATTTTCTCACTTCTGTAAATTTTAGTCTCAATCTCACCTAAATGGATTAGGTCTGCCCTTTATCTTGCCCTTTTCATTCTACCAACAGATCTGCACTTTGAAGTCAATGGAAAATTACTCCAGTGAATAATAAGTGAAATAAAGCAGTCATAATTATGACTTGAGTACTATTTTGTAAACTTGTAGTCATAATAGTACATAATCCTCTCTCTTAGTCTTCACCTTACTTCCTTGTCTTTAGATCTTTGATATCATGCTGCATTACCAAAAATCCAGTTTTGTTTCTATTTGTTTCCATGTATAAATACAATCTCAACGCTGAATTTCCTTTCTTTATTTTATTGTAACAGAAACTTTATCCAGTTTGAAAATTCATTCCCTAAGAGCATTGCAATAGGATAAAAGAACCTCCTGGCTGGCTACTGCCCAACTCTGTTATGATCATGGGTGGGTGAGGTAGGGTTTGAGTTGGCAATGAGCAGGACGGGGATCGTGCTCAGGTGAGTCTCCTGGTGTGTCCAGGTTTTTATATTCTAATGCCCCAGTAAGGAAGAAAGCGTAGTGTGGGAAGAGAAAGAGTTGCTGATGGCAGCATCTCCACAAGTGTCCTCAAAGTGAATTATTTTGGGAGTCCCTGGTGCGTCCAGGATCAGAAGGCAAAGGGATAGGCCAATTGTCACCATGCTGAAGTAATGCTTCCCAATTTCTTCTCCTGTTCCTCTTACTTTCCAGCTTCCACATCAGCTTCCTTTTGTTGGGAGAAAATAATGGGGAAGAGGAAGAGGCTAAGAAGATGCTGAAGTGGACGCTACATGATTGTAGACTAGATTAGACCTCGTGTACAGTCGCTGAACTATAGATGTCATAATTATTATTTTTTAAAAATTTTATTTGTGACTGGTCATGGTGGTTCACGCTCTATAATCCCAGCACTTTGGGGGGCCAAGACAGGTGGATCATGAGGTCAGGAGATCTAGACCAATCCTGGAGCCAACATAGTGAAACACCATCTCTACTAAACTACAAAAAAATTGGGTGGGGTGCTGCATGCCTGTAGTCAGCTACTCGGGAGGCTGAGGCAGGG